TGTTGTCTCTCCTCCTTCCTTCCTTAGCCTGATTACCTGGTCCTTGACTGTTGTTTTCCTCCTAATGTGGCTGTACAACAGTTTCGGGCCAGATTTGGCTTTCGCTGCTATGTCATTTTCATATTGTCTTTGGGCCTCCCTTCTTATCTGTGCATATTCGTTTCTGGCTCTACGACTGTTCTCCTTATTCTCCTTATTCTTCTCTCTTATTCTGTGTGTGTGTATGTGTGTGTGTGTGTGTGTGTGTGTGTGTGTGTGTGTGTGTGTGTGTGTGTGTGTGTATGTGTACTCACCTAGTTGTACTCACCTAGTTGAGGTTGCGGGGGTCGAGTCCGAGCTCCTCTTAGCTCTGGGACTAGTCTTGTTGCAAACCTTTGCACTTTCTCTAGTTTCTTCACGTGCTTGGCTAGGTGTGGGTTCCAAACTGGTGTCGCATACTCCAGTGTGTGTGTGTGTGTGTGTGTGTATGTGTGTGTGTGTGTATGTGTGTGTGTGTGTTTGTGTGTGTGTGTGTTTGTGTGTGTGTGTGTGTTTATGTGTGTGTGTGTGTTTATGTATGTGTGTGTACTCACTTATTTGTACTCACCTATTTGTGGTTGCAGGGTCGAATCATAGCTCCTGGCCCGCCTCTTCGCTGATGCTACTAGGTCCTCTCTCTCCCTGCCCCATGAGCTTTATCATACCTCGCCTTAAAACTATGTATGGTTCCCGTCTCCACTACGTCACTTTCTAGGCTATTCCACGGCCTGACTACTCTATGACTGAAGAAATACTTCCTAACATCCCTTTGATTCATCTGAGTCTTCAACTTCCAATTGTGACTCTATGTGTCTGTGTCCCTTCTCTGGAACATCCCGTCTTTGTCCTTTGTCTATTCCGCGCAGTATTTTTATATGTCGTTATCATTTCTCCCCTGACCCTCCTGTTCCTCCAGTGTCGTCAGGCCCGATTTCCTCAACCTTTCTTCGTAGGACAATCCCCGTAGCTCTGGGACTAGTCTTGTTGCAAATCTTTGCACTTTCTCTAATTTCTTGACGTGCTTGACTAGGTGTGGATTCCAAACTGGTGCTGCATACTCCAGTATGGGCCTGACGTAGATGGTATATACAGAGTCTTGAACGAATCCTTACTGAGGTATCGGAACGCTATCCATAGGTTTTGCAGGCGCCCGTATGCTGCAGCAGTTATCTGATGTGCGCCTCAGGAGATTATGCTCGGTGTTATACTCACCCCAGATCTTTTTCTTGAGTGAGGTTTGCAGTCTTTAGCATCTAAACTATATTGTGTCTGCGGTCTTCTTTGCCCTTCCCAATCTTCATGACTTTGCATTTGGCAGGGTTAAATTCAAGGAGCCAGTTGCTGGACCAGGCTTGTAGCCTGTCCAGGTCTCTTTGTAGCCCTGCCTGATCCTCATCCGATTTGATTTTTCATTAATTTCACATCATCTGCAAACAAGGACACTTCTGAGTCTACCCCTTTTCGTTATGTCGTTCACATATACCAAAAACAGCACAGGTCCTAGGACTGACTGTGTGTGTGTGTGTGTGTGGGGTGTGTGTTTTTGTGTGTGTGTGGTGTGTGGTGTGTGAGTGGTGTGGTGGAGTGTGTGTGTGTGTGTGTGTGTGTGTGTGTGTGTGTGTGTGTGTGTGTGTGTGTGTGTGCGGGGTTGGTGAGTGTGTGTGAGTGTGAGGGGTGTGTGTGTGTGTTGTGTGTGTGGTGTGTGTGTGTGTGGGGTGTGTGTGTGTGTGTGTGTGTGTGGTGTGCGTGTGTGTGTGAGTGTGTGTGAGTGTGTGTGTGTGTGTGTGTGTGTGTGTGTGTTTTGTGTGTGTTGTGTGTGTGTGTGTGTGTGTGTTTGTGTGTGTGTTTTTGTGTGTATGTGTGTGTATGTGTGTGTGTGTGTGTTTATGTATGTGTGTGGTGTGTTGTGTGTTTATGTATGTGTATATGTGTGTGTTTATGTATGTGTGTGTGTGTTTATGTATGTGTGTGTGTGCGTGTGTGTGTGTGTGTGCGTGTATGTGTGTGTACTTACACTATTTGTACTCACCTATTTGTGGTTGCAGGGGTCGAGTCTAGCTCCTGGCCCCGCCTCTTCACCGGTTGCTACTAGGCCCTCTCTCTCCCGCTCCATGAGCTTTATCAACCTCGTCTTTAAAACTGTGTATGGTTTCCTGCCTCCACTACGTCATTTTCTAGGCTATTCCACTGCCTTACAACTCTATGACTGAAGAAATACTTCCTACTATCTCTCTGACTCATTTGTGTCTTCAACTTCCAATTGTGGCTCTTGTTTCTGTGTCCCCTCCCTGGAAACATCCTGTCCTTGTCCACCTTGTCTATTCCACGCAGTATTTTATATGTCGTTATCATGTCTCCCCTGACCCTCCTGTCCTCCAGTGTCGTCAGGCCGATTTCCCTTAATCTTTCTTCATAGGACATTCCCCTTAGCTCTGGAACTAACCTTGTTGCAAACCTTTGTACTTTCTCTAGTTTCTTGACGTGCTTTATCAAGTGCGGGTTCCAAACAGGTGCTGCATACTCCAGTATGGGCCTGACATACACGGTGTACAGTGTCTTGAATGATTCCTTACTAAGGTGTCGGAATGCTGTTCTCAGGTTTGCCAGGCGCCCATATGCTGCAGCAGTTATCTGATTGATGTGTGCTTCCGGAGACATGCTCGGTGTTATACTCACCCCAAGATCTATGTGTGTGTGTGTTTATGTATGTGTGTGTGTGTGTGTGTGCGTGTGTGTGTGTGTGTGTTTATGTATGTATGTGTGTGTGTGTTGTGTGTGTGTGTTTATATGTGTGTGTGTGTGTGTGTGTGTGTGTGTGTTTATGTATGTGTGTGTGTGTTTATGTATGTGTGTGCGTGTTTATGTATGTGTGTGTGTTTATGTATGTGTGTGTGTGCGTGTGTGTGTGCGTGTATGTGTGTATGTTTGTGTTGGTGGTGGTGCCCCGCTGAGCGCCCGTTCAGAACCCCTTTGATGGGCCCGATTGAGCGCCTCTTTCAGAACCCCATTCAGAGCACCCCGTTAAGAGCCCCGTTGAGAGCCCCGTTGAGAGCCCCGTTGAGAGCCCCGTTGAGAGCCCCGTTGAGAGCCCCGTTGAGAGCTCCGTTGAGAGCCCCGTTGAGAGCTCCGTTGAGAGCCCCGTAGTGTGATGGGAGGAAGTTATGAGGAAACTTAACACTTGTCTCTGAGGTGAGGTGATCAAAGACACACTTAACACTTTTATTGTCACACTTGTAGCACTTGAGAGACACACACGTGTGCACACACACACACCACACACACACACACACACACACACACACACACACACACACATCACACACACACACACACACACACACACACACACACACACACACACACACACACACACACACACAAACACACATCACACAACCCAAATGGGGCCAGGAGCTATAAATCGACCCCTACAACAACAATTAGGTGAGTACACGCACTGACACGCACACATATATACACACATGCACACACAAACACACACACCACACAACCCAGATGGCCCACACAAGTGGGTATCACACAACCCACGTACCAGCAGCCCAAACCCATCGCACTGTACGTGCGCTCTTTACAAGGTGATTAGCGTGTACAGACAGCCTGATGTTCCCATTATTATCTTCTCTAATCACCTTCGGTAAGTATTTAAAGTCGTGTGCTTGTTATGGTTGAGAAACATGATTAATTATCAGCTTGTTCACTGACTCTACAGTGTGTACCCAGTGATACAGTGACTGTACAGTGTGTACCCAGTGATACAGTGACTGTACAGTGTGTACCCAGTGATACAGTGGCTGTACAGTGACTGTACAGTGTGTATCCAGTGATGCAGTGGCTGTACAGTGACTGTACAGTGTGTACCCAGTGATACAGTGGCTGTACAATGACTGTACAGTGTGTACCCAGTGATACAGTGGTTGTACAGTGACTGCACAGTGTGTACCCAGTGATACAGTGGCTGCAAAGTGACTGTACAGTGTGTATCCAGTGATACAGTGGCTGTACAGTGACTGTGCAGTGTGTACCCAGTGACACAGTTGCTGTACAGTGGCTGTACAGTGTGTACCCAGTGATACAGTGGCTGTACAGTGACTGTACAGTGTGTACCCAGTGATAAAGTGGCTGTACAGAGACTGTACAGTGTGTACCCAGTGATACAGTGGCTGTACAGTGACTGTACAGTGTGTACCCAGTGATAAAGTGGCTGTACAGAGACTGTACAGTGTGCACCCAGTGATACAGTGGCTGTACAGTGACTGTACAGTGTGTACCCAGTGATACAGTGGCTGTACAGTGACTGTACAGTGTGCACCCAGTGATACACTGGCTGTACAGTGACTACAGTGTATCCAGTGATACAGTGGCTGTACAGTAACTGTACAGTGTGTACCAAGTGGTACACTGGCTGTTCAGCGAGCACCCAGTGGGTCAGTGACTGTACAGTGTATACTCAGTGGGTGAGTGACTGTACAGTGTGTACTCAGTGGGTCAGGGTGTACATATATACACAGACCACTGAGCAAGTGAAACTGCAGGTAATAATGTCTCTGAGAGCATTACTGGTGTATATTGCCTGTCTATATATACACTAGGAAATATACACCTTTTGGTGTATATCTGGGAGGTATACACTAAAAGGTGTATATCTCCCTCCCGGTTTATTAAAACTGATAAATGTACATCTTTCATTGTACATTAAAATACAAATTTTATTTCGGGTAGTCCTGAGGTGAATGACGCAAGTGAATAACGCAAGTGAATAACGCAAGTGAATGACGCAAGTGAATAACGCAAGTGAATGATGCAGTGGCTGGTCCAGTGACTGGTCCAGGTGAATGATGTAAGTGAACACTGTAGGTGAGTGACCCAGGTGTATGACCTTAATAATAATAATAATAATAATAATAATAATAATAATAATAATAATAATAATAATAATAATAATAATCAGTGTAGGTACTCACTCTGTGCTTGTCGATGTGGAGTGGTCGTAAGTTAGGGTCGTACAGTAGGGTACTGGGCTCGACGTTGATTGGGCTCTGGCGACGACCGTGGGTGCACAACGACCACTCTGGGTTGATCAGTCCCCAGAACTGCGGCCCTGTGCGAGAGAGAGCCAGAGTGAGTAAAGTGCGAGAGTGAGTGAGAAAGGAGCTTGTTGCTCCTAGTGTCAGTTGAGATTAACAGTGTATTTGGTATTAGAGTATTAAGGAATAAACCAGAAACTCTCACTAAAAATCTTATTAAATGTCTAGAAGTAAATACACACTGATCTAAATGGTTTGTGAAAATATGCAATTACATTACTTTTATAACTTGCACGAAGTGTATCACTGCAGACAACAAGAACATTTCGCCCCTCCATGGAAGTTGTGGTCATTTAATATCACATAACTGCAAGTCCCTCCCCTTACTTAAATCACTTGCGAAGACAACTGCTCAGGAAGGAACTTCTCTCTTAACTGTTAGTTATAATAAGTCAGAAATTATATACACTGATGGATATCAGCAGGAGTCTACTGGCAGAGCTGCAGCTGCTCTTGTTGCTGCCTCTTCTAGATAACAGTTATAGGAACTATCGTTCTCTCCTAGGCTTAAGAGTTAACAACTAACGACTACAATGTCATCCTAAATTATGACACTGAGTGTGACTCTTTGACTTACTGATCATGTCATCACTGAAGGATCTTGACTCGCATGACTCTAACAACATGACTCTAACAACATGACTCTAACAACATGACTCTAACAACATGACTCTAACAACATGACTCTAACAACATGGCTCTAACAACATGACTAACAACATGACTCTAACAAGTTTGTAGATGAATGGTTCAGAGAACCGACATGTTGATAAATTAGACACATGTGCAACTCTTGGGTATCTTTATTGAGGAAACATACAACACTCAGTGTATGTTCAACATACAACACTCAGTGTATGTTCAACATACAACACTCAGTATAAGTTCAACATACAACACTCAGTGTATGTTCAACATACAACACTCAGTGTATGTTCAACATACAACACTCAGTGTATGTTCAACATACAACACTCAGTGTAAGTTCAACATACAACACTCAGTATAAGTTCAACATACAACACTCAGTGTATGTTCATCATACAACAATCAGTGGGATGTTCAACATACAACACTCAGTGTATGTTCAACATACAACATCGTGTATGTTCAACATACAAAAACTCGTGTATGTTCAACATACAACACCAGTGTATTTCAACATACAACACTCAGTGTATGTTCAACATACAACACTCAGTGTATGTTCAACATACAACACTCAGCATAAGTTCAACATACAACACTCAGTGTATGTTCAACATACAACACTCAGTGTATGTTCAACATACAACACTCAGTGTATGTTCAACATACAACACTCAGTATAAGTTCAACATACAACACTCAGTGTAGTTCAACATACAACACTCAGTATAAGTTTCCCAAAATACAACACTCAGTGGTATGTTCAACATACAACACCAGTATAAGTTCAACATACAACACTCAGTGTATGTTCAACATACAACACTCAGCATAAGTTCAACATACAACACTCAGTGTATTTCAACATTACAACACTCAGTGTATGTTCAACATACAACACTCAGTATAAGTTCAACATACAACACTCAGTGTATGTTCAACATACAACACTCAGCATAAGTTCAACATACAACACTCAGTGTATGTTCAACATACAACACTCAGTATAAGTTCAACATACAACACTCAGTGTATGTTCAACATACAACACTCAGTGTATGTTCAACATACAACACTCAGTATAAGTTCAACATACAACACTCAGTGTATGTTCAACATACAACACTCAGTGTATGTTCAACATACAACACTCAGTATAAGTTCAACATACAACACTCAGTATAAGTTCAACATACAACACTCAGTGTATGTTCAACATACAACACTCAGTATAAGTTCAACATACAACACTCAGTGTATGTTCAACATACAACACTCAGTATAAGTTCAACATACAACACTCATTGTATGTTCAACATACAACACTCAGTGTATGTTCAACATACAACACTCAGTATAAGTTCAACATACAACACTCAGTGTATGTTCAACATACAACACTCAGTATAAGTTCAACATACAACACTCATTGTATGTTCAACATACAACACTCATTGTATGTTCAACATACAACACTCAGTGTATGTTCAACATACAACACTCAGTATAAGTTCAACATACAACACTCAGTGTATGTTCAAACATACAACACTCATTGTATGTTCAACATACAACACTCAGTGTATGTCAACATAAACACTCAGTATAAGTTCAACATACAACACTCGTGTATGTTCAACATACAACACTCAGTGTATGTTCAAAAATACAACACTCAGTGTTGTTCAACATACAACACTCAGTATAAGTTCAACATACAACACTCAGTGTATGTTCAACATACAACACTCAGTATAAGTTCAACATACAACACTCAGTGTATGTTCAACATACAACACTCAGTATAAGTTCAACTACAACACTCAGTGTATGTTCAACATACAACACTCGCATAAGTTCAACATAAAAACACTCAGTGTATGTTCAACATACAACACTCAGTGTATGTTCAACATACAACACTCAGTATAAGTTCAACATACAACACTCAGTGTATGTTCAACATAAAAACACTCAGCATAAGTTCAACATACAACACTCAGTGTATGTTCAACATACAACACTCAGTATAAGTTCAACATACAACACTCAGTGTATGTTCAACATACAACACTCAGTATAAGTTCAACATACAACACTCAGTGTATGTTCAACATACAACACTCAGTGTATGTTCAACATACAACACTCAGTGTATGTTCAACATACAACACTCAGTATAAGTTCAACATACAACACTCAGTGTATGTTCAACATACAACACTCAGTATAAGTTCAACATACAACACTCAGTGTATGTTCAACATACAACACTCAGTATAAGTTCAACATACAACACTCAGTGTATGTTCAACAACAACAACTCAGCATAAGTTCAACATACAAACATCAGTGTATGTTCAACATACAACACTCAGTGTATGTTCAACATACAACACTCAGTATAAGTTCAACATACAACACTCAGTGTATGTTCAACATACAACACTCAGCATAAGTTCAACATACAACACTCAGTGTATGTTCAACATACAACACTCAGTGTATGTTCAACATACAACACTCACTATGTTCAGTTGCTTTCTCTCACCGAGAATTAAGGTACTTTTCCAGTGTGTGAAGGTTGGTAGCATTGTTACAGTGTGTGAAGGTTGGTAGCATTGTTACAGTGTGTGAAGGTTGGTAGAACTGTTACAGTGTGTGTGAAGGTTGGTAGCATTGTTACAGTGTGTGAAGGTTGGTAGAACTGTTACAGTGGGTGAAGGTTGGTAGTATTGTTACAGTGTGTGACGGTTGGTAGTACTGTTACAGTGTGTTTACCTGGAGAGAGTTCCGGGGATCAACGCCCCCGCGGCCCGGTCTGTGACCAGGCCTCATGGTGGATCAGAGCCTGATCAACCAGGCTGTTACTGCTGGCTGCACGCAATCCAACGTACGAGGCTCAGCCCGGCTGGTCAGGTACCGACTTTAGGTGTTTGTCCAGTGCCAGCTTGAAGACTGCCAGGGGTCTATTGGTAATCCCCCTTATGTATGCTGGGAGGCAGTTGAACAATCTTGGGCCCTTGACACTTATTGTATTGTCTCTTAACGTGTGTGAAGGTTGTTAGTACTATTACAGTGTGTGAAGGTTGGTAGTACTGTTATAGTGTGTGAAGGTTGGTAGTACTGTTACTTTGTGTGAAGGTTGGTAGTACTGTTACAGTGTGTGAAGGTTGGTAGTACTGTTACTTTGTGTGAAGGTTGGTAGTACTGTTACAGTGTGTGAAGGCTGGTAGTACTGTTACAATGTGTGAAGGTTGGTAGTACTGTTACAGTGTGTGAAGGTTGGTAGTACTGTTACAGTGTGTGAAGACTGGTAGTACTGTTACAATGTGTAAAGGTTGGTAGTACTGTTACAGTGTGTGAAGGCTGGTAGTACTGTTACAATGTGTGAAGGTTGGTAGTACTGTTACAGTGTGTGAAGACTGGTAGTACTGTTACAATGTGTGAAGATTGGTAGTACTGTTACAATGTGTAAAGGTTGGTAGTACTGTTACAATGTGTGAAGGTTGGTAGTACTGTTACAGTGTGTGAAGGTTGGTAGTACTGTTACAGTGTGTGAAGACTGGTAGTACTGTTACAATGTGTAAAGGTTGGTAGTACTGTTACAGTGTGTGAAGGCTGGTAGTACTGTTACAATGTGTGAAGGTTGGTAGTACTGTTACAGTGTGTGAAGATTGGTAGTACTGTTACAATGTGTAAAGGTTGGTAGTACTGTTACAATGTGTGAAGGTTGGGCGTACTGTTACAATGTGTAAAGGTTGGTAGTACTGTTACAATGTGTGAAGGTTGGGCGTACTGTTACAATGTGTGAAGGTTGGTAGTACTGATACAATGTGTGAAGGTTGGTAGTACTGTTACAATGTGTGAAGGTTGGTAGTACTGTTACAGTGTGTGAAGGTTGTTAGTACTGTTACAGTGTGTGAAGGTTGTTAGTACTGTTACAGTGTGTGAATGTTGGTAGTACTGTTACAGTGTGTGAAGTTTGGTAGTACTGTTACAGTGTGTGAATGTTGGTAGTACTGTTACAGTGTGTGAAGTTTGGTAGTACTGTTACAGTGTGTGAATGTTGGTAGTACTGTTACAGTGTGTGAAGGTTGTTAGTACTGGTACAGTGTGTGTGAAGATTGGTTGTAATGTTCCAGGGTGTGTGAAGGTTGGTAGTACTGTTAAAGTGTGTGAAAGTTGGTAGTGTTACAGTGTGTGTAGGCTGTTAATACTGTTACAATGTGAGAAGGTTGGTAGTACTGCTACAGTGTATGTAGGCTGTTAGTACTGTTACCAAGTGCGTAGGCTGTTAGTGCTGTTACAATGTGTGTAGGCTGTCATTGCTGTTACAGTGTACGATGTTAGTGCTGTTACCAAGTGTGTAAGATGTTATTACAGTTAGAAAGTGTAGGCTGTTAGTAATGTTACAGTGTAGGTGTTAGTACCGTTACAGTGTGTGCAGGCTGTTAGAAGTGATCATAGTGGTGGTCATGGTGATGGTTATGGTGGTGGGCATGGTAGTGGTCATGGTGGTGGTAATGGTGGTGATCATGGCGGTCATGCTCATGGTGATGGTCATGGTAGTCGTGGCGGTGGTCATGGTAGTCATGGTAGTGGGCATGGTGGTGGTCACGGTGGTCATGGTGGTAGTTATGGTGGTTGTCATGGTGCTTGTCATGGTGGTCACGGTAGTCATGATATTGGTCATGGTGGTCATAGTGGCGGTCATGGTGGTCATAATGGTGGTCATAGTGGACATGGTGATGATCATGGTGATGGTCATGGTGGTCATGGTAGTGGTCATGGTTGTGGCCATGGTGGTGGTCATGGTTGTGGTCATGGTGGTGATCATGGTGGTCATGGTAGTGGTCATGGTAGTGGTCATGGTGGCGGTCATAATGGTTGTCATGGTGGTGGTCATGGTGGTGGTCATAGTGTTGGTCATGATGGTCATGGTGGTCATGGTCGTGGTCATGATGATCATGGTAGTGTCATGGTGGTGGTCATGGTGGTGTTCATGGTGCTGTTCATGGTGGTCATGGTGGTGGTCATGGTGGTGGTCATGGTGGTGGTCATGATGGTCATGGTGGTCATGGTGGTCATGGTCGTGGTCATGGTGATCATGGTAGTGCTCATGGTGGTGTTCATGGTGGTCATGGTGGTCATGGTGGTGGTCATGATGGTTTTCATGGTGGTCATGATGGTCAGGGTGGTGGTCATGGTCGTCATGGTAGTGGTCATGGTGGTCATGGTGGTGGTAATGGTGGTGTTCATGTTGGTTATGATGGTGGTTATGATGGTGGTCATGGTGGTGGTCATGGTGGTGGACATGGTGGTCATGGTGGTTATGGTGGTGGTCATGATAGTGGTCATGGTGGTGGGCATGGTGGTCATGGTGGTGGTCATGGTGGTGGTTATGTTGGTTATGATGGTGGTCATGGTGGTGGTCATGGTGGTGGTCATGGTGGTCATAGTGGTGGTCATGGTGGTCATGGTGGCGATCATGGTAGTCATGGTGGTGGTCATGGTGGTGGTCATGGTGGTCATGATGGTGGTCATGGTGGTGGTCATGGTAGTCATGGTGGTGATCATGGTGGTGGTCATGGTGGTGGTCATGGCAGTCATGGTGGTGGTCATGGTAGTCATGATGGTGGTCATGGTGGTGGTCATGGTGGTGGTCATGGTAGTCATGGTGGTGGTCATGGTAGTCATGATGGTGGTCATGGTGGTGGTCATGGTGGTGGTCATGGTAGTCATGGTGGTGGTCATGTTAGTCATGGAGTCATGGTGGTGGTCATGGTGGTAGTCATGGTGGCGGTCATGGTAGTCATGGTGGTGGTCATGGTAGTCATGGCGGCGGTCATGGTAGTCATGGTGGTGGTCATGGTGGTAGTCATGGTGGTGGTCATGGTAGTCATGGTGGTAGTCATGGTGGCGGTCATGGTAGTTATGGTGGTGGTCATGGTGGTGGTCATGGTAGTCATGGTGGTAGTCATGGTGGCGGTCATGGTAGTCATGGTGGTGGTCATGGTGGTAGTCATGGTGGTGGTCATGGTGGTGATCATGGTAGCCATGGTTGTGGTCATGGTAGTCATGGTGGTGGTCATGGTAGTCATGGTGGTGGTCATGGTGGTGATCATGGTAGTCATGGTGGTAGTCATGGTGGCGGTCATGGTAGTCATAGTGGCGGTCATGGTAGTCATGGTGGCGGTCATGGCAGTCATGGTGGTGGTCATGGTGGTAGTGATGGTGGTGGTCATGGTGGTGATCATGGTAGCCATGGTGGTGGTCATGGTAGTCATGGTGGTGGTCATGGTAGTCATGATGGTAGTCATGGTGGTGATCATGGTAGTCATGGTGGCGGTCATGGTAGTCATGGTGGTGGTCATGGTAGTCATGGTGGTGGTCATGGTAGTCATGGTGGTAGTCATGGTGGTGATCATGGTAGTCATGGTGGCGGTCATGGTAGTCATGGTGGTGGTCATGGTAGTCATGGTGGTGGTCATGGTAGTCATGGTGGTGGTCATGGTAGTCATGGTGGTAGTCATGGTGGTGATCATGGTAGTCATGGTGGCGGTCATGGTAGTCATGGTGGTGGTCATGGTAGTCATGGTGGTGGTCATGGTAGTCATGGTGGTGGTCATGGTAGTCATGGTGGTGGTCATGGTAGTCATGGTGGCGGTCATGGTAGTCATGGTGGTGGTCATGGTGGCGGTCATGGTAGTCATGGTGGTGGTCATGGTAGTCATGGTGGTGGTCATGGTAGTCATGGTGGCGGTCATGGTAGTCATGGTGGTAGTCATGGTGGCGGTCATGGTAGTCATGGTGGTGGTCATGGTAGTCATGGTGGTGGTCATGGTAGTCATGGTGGTGGTCATGGTAGTCATGGTGGTGGTCATGGTAGTCATGGTGGCGGTCATGGTAGTCATGGTGGTAGTCATGGTGGTGGTCATGGTAGTCATGGTGGTGGTCATGGTAGTCATGGTGGTGGTCATGGTAGTCATGGTGGTGGTCATGGTAGTCATGGTGGCGGGGGTAGGTAGCATGGTGGTGGTCATGGTAGTCATGGTGGTGGTCATGGTAGTCATGGTGGTGGTCATGGTAGTCATGGTGGTGGTCATGGTAGTCACGGTGGTGATCATGGTAGCCATGGTGGTGGTCATGGTGGCGGTCATGGTAGTCATGGTGGTGGTCATGGTAGTCATGGTGGTGGTCATGGGACACACACAGGTAAGCACCATTACCTGCCTCGCCATGCCTGACCAAAATGCAAATTCCATTTTTCGTTCGCACTTCAAAATTAAACGCAATTTTTGTTTAGCAAAATTATTATTATTATTATTATTATTATTATTATTATAACAGCATTTATCATAATAATAATAATAATAATAATAATAATAATAATGAAGAAGAAGAAGAAGAAGAAGAAGAAGAAGAAGAAGAAGAAGAAGAAGAAGAAGAAGAAGAAGAAGAAAAAGAAGAAGACGAAGAAGAAGAAGAAGAAGAAGAAGAAGAAGAAGAAGAAGAAGAAGAAGAAGAAGAAGACAACTGGAATATTTTTAAGAATAGTTTACACTTCCAAGACACTAACAAATATTCATAATAATCATAAAACTAAAAGAAAACATTCCAGACACTCATAACACTCACAACAGACACATAACACACAACATAGGCTCCTACTACACAACATAGGCTGGTACTACACAACATAGGCTGGTACTACACAACATAGGCTCCTACTACACAACATAGGCTGGTACTACACAACATAGGCTGGTACTACACAATATAGGCTCCTACTACATAACATAGGCTCCTACCACACAACATAGGCTGGTACTACACAACATAGGCTGGTACTACACAACATAGGCTGGTACTACACAACATAGGCTGGTACTACACAACATAGGCTCCTACTACACAACATAGGCTCCTACTACACAACATAGGCTCCTACTACACAACATAGGCTGGTACTACACAACATAGGCTCCTACTACACAACATAGGCTGGTACTACACAACATAGGCTGGTACTACACAACATAGGCTCCTACTACACAACATAGGCTCCTACTACACAACATAGGCTGGTACTACACAACATAGGCTGGTACTACACAACATAGGCTCCTACCACACAACATAGGCTGGTACTACACAACATAGGCTCCTACTACACAACATAGGCTGGTACTACACAACATAGGCTGGTACTACACAACATAGGCTCCTACCACACAACATAGGCTGGTACTACACAACATAGGCTCCTACTACACAACATAGGCTGGTACTACACAACATAGGCTGGTACTACACAACATAGGCTCCTACTACACAACATAGGCTCCTACTACACAACATAGGCTCCTACTACACAACATAGGCTGGTACTACACAACATAGGCTCCTACTACACAACATAGGCTGGTACTACACAACATAGGCTGGTACTACACAACATAGGCTCCTACTACACAACATAGGCTCCTACTACACAACATAGGCTCCTACTACACAACATAGGCTCCTACTACACAACATAGGCTGGTACTACACAACATAGGCTGGCACTACACAACATAGGCTGGTACTACACAACCTAGGCTCCTACTACACAACATAGGCTGGTACTACACAACATAGGCTGGCACTACACAACATAGGCTGGCACTACACAACATAGGCTGGCACTACACAACATAGGCTGGCACTACACAACATAGGCTGGCACTCACCAGAGATGCCATCATAGGTCCACCACTTGGCCCAGTCCCAGCTCACACCCAGTCCTCCTGAAACACAAATATTTTTTTACAGTCATGAAATAATCACATAATCCAGATTTTCAATTACAATTACAATTACAATTACAATTACTCAGAAAAATAACACATTACAATTACTTGTTATCATACACTAAATTATTTTCTTCATTTACTTTAAATTTTACTAATGTTAAAATCCTTTTTAAATGTTGGAAATAATAAGTAACATTTTCTTCACAATGTGTAATTAATTGTAAGTGGTTGAACAATGTACAAGAATACCATTAGTTACATTTTGAGTCACAGTCAACCAGATGGAGAACATGTGCATAATATTTGTCACAGCAGAGCAACCTAAGATCCCACAAGATTACAAATAACTAAATAAATATCGTCTCACATAAAGTTGTTTACAGTGTTAGATCTTAGACGTAATGTTGACATTGTTTGCTGCGCTGCAGTTTACAGGAGGGAACACCACCGAGATGATCAACAATGTTAGTAGTAGTTTTGTAATAAATTGTTGCATGAAGTTGTAAAGGAGTTATCTCACTATGTCTTAGTTTAATATCTTCATTATTATGCTCTCCATACCCATGGTGTGGGTGGGAGTCACACCGTACCCATGGTGTGGGTGGGAGTCACACCATACCCATGGTGTGGGTGGGAGTCACACCATACCCATGGTGTGGGTGGTAGTCACACCATACCCATGGTGTAGGTGGGAGTCACACCATACCCATGGTGTGGGTGGGAGTCACACCATACCCATGGTGTGGGTGGGAGTCACACCATACCCATGGTGTGGGTGGTAGTCACACCATACCCATGGTGTGGTGGGAGTCACACCATACCCATGGTGTGGTGGGAGTCACACCATACCCATGGTGTGGTGGGAGTCACACCATACCCATGGTGTGGGTGGGTGTCAAACCATACCCATGGTGTGGGTGGGAGTCACACCATACCCATGGTGTGGGTGGGAGTCACACCATACCCATGGTGTGGGTGGTAGTCACACCATACCCATGGTGTGGGTGGTAGTCACACCATACCCATGGTGTGGGTGGTAGTCACACCATACCCATGGTGTGGGTGGTAGTCACACCATACCCATGGTGTGGGTGGGAGTCAAACCATACCCATGGTGTGGGTGGGAGTCACACCATACCCATGGTGTGGGTGGGAGTCAAACCATACCCATGGTGTGGGTGGGAGTCACACCATACCCATGGTGTGGGTGGGAGTCACACCATACCCATGGTGTGGTTGGTAGTCACACCATACCCATAGTGTGGTTGGTAGTCACACCATACCCATGATGTGGGTGGTAGTCAAACCATACCCATGGTGTGGGTGGTAGTCACACCATACCCATGGTGTGGGTGGGAGTCACACCATACCCATGGTGTGCGTGGGAGTCACACCATACCCATGGTGTGGGTGGGAGTCACACCGTACCCATGGTGTGGGTGGGAGTCACACCATACCCATGGTGTGGGTGGTAGTCACACCATACCCATGGTGTGGGTGGGAGTCACACCATACCCATGGTGTGGGTGGAGTCACAACCGTACCCATGGTGTGGGTGGGAGTCACACCATACCCATGGTGTGGGTGGGAGTCACACCATACCCATGGTGTGGGTGGTAGTCACACCATACCCATGGTGTGGGTGGGAGTCAAACCATACCCATGGTGTGGGTGGGAGTCACACCATACCCATGGTGTGGGTGGGAGTCACACCATACCCATGGTGTGGGTGGTAGTCACACCATACCCATGGTGTGGGTGGGAGTCACACCATACCCTTGGTGTGGGTGGGAGTCACACCATACCCATGGTGTGGGGGGAGTCACACCATACCCATGGTGTGGGTGGGAGTCACACCATACCCATGGTGTGGGTGGTAGTCACACCATACCCATGGTGTGGGTGGGAGTCACACCATACCCATGGTGTGGGTGGGAGTCACACCGTACCCATGGTGTGGGTGGGAGTCACACCATACCCATGGTGTGGGTGGGAGTCACACCATACCCATGGTGTGGGTGGGAGTCACACCATACCCATGGTGTGGGTGGGAGTCACACCGTACCCATGGTGTGGGTGGGAGTCACACCATACCCATGGTGTGGGTGGGAGTCACACCATACCCATGGTGTGGGTGGGAGTCACACCGTACCCATGGTGTGGGTGGGAGTCACACCATACCCATGGTGTGGGTGGGAGTCACACCATACCCATGGTGTGGGTGGTAGTCACACCTAACCCATGGTGTGGGTGGTAGTCACACCATACCCATGGTGTGGGTGGGAGTCACACCATACCCATGGTGTGGGTGGTAGTCACACCATACCCATGGTGTAGGTGGGAGTCACACCATACCCATGGTGTGGGTGGTAGTCACACCATACCCATGGTGTGGGCGGTAGTCACACCATACCCATGGTGTGGGCGGTAGTCACACCATACCCATGGTGTGGGCGGTAGTCACACCATACCCATGGTGTGGGCGGTAGTCACACCATACCCATGGTGTGGTCGGTAGTCACACCATACCCATGGTGTGGGTGGTAGTCACACCATACCCATGGTGTGGGTGGGAGTCACACCATACCCATGGTGTGAGTGGTAGTCACACCATACCCATGGTGTGGGTGGTAGTCACACCATACCCATGGTGTGAGTGGTAGTCACACCATACCCATGGTGTGAGTGGTAGTCACACCATACCCATGGTGTGGGTGGTAGTCACACCATACCATGGTGTGGGTGGTATCACACCATACCCATGGTGTGAGTGGTAGTCCACACCATACCCATGGTGTGAGTGGTAGTCACACCATACCCATGGTGTGGGTGGTAGTCAAAAGATTACAGAGACACATAATGTGTCCAGGGACTGAGTCACAGAGTTTGGCCAGCTAAACATGGTACATTAGTAATGAATAATGTACATGCTTATATCTTGTTATAATCGTAACAAGTTACTCGCATTTATGTAGACATGAATTGTCACAAAAATACTACTGGTGTATACAGCTTATATGTGGTTTGGAATTATTATTATTTTCTTGTATTTTAGCATGGTAAGGTTGAATTTAAAGAAAACTTAAGTGAATATGAGTTATTTACAAAAGGCAAAATCAGGGTATTTTCCCAGAATGGTTTAATATACCACTGTGGATAAAATACTTCGACGTATCTTGAACATTTGTGAATGATTTGTCCCACAGGCACTGGTAACCCAGCCGGTGCCGGGCTGTAGTGACTTCCAAGACTCTGCTTAATTTGTTGGATGCACCATAGACATGTGGCTCCTCCTGCATGATAGAATGCTGATAGATGGACTGACTGGTGTCAATCTCCCTCGGTTTCAAGTCAATGAAGTTCATTTGAAGTTCTTTACATATTGTCTCCAGACTGCTGACAGCCCAAGATTGTAATCTACCCCGTCCTTGAAGACCTTTGTCAAGTCATCAGTTCTATCATACATCTTGAAGACCAATGTGAGATGGAATCCACAGAAGATATACTCTGGCTCCATTGTCCACAATCCTACCATACCTGTTTCTAGCTTCTGACACAAGCATGCCACAACTGGCAATCATGGAGTTGAGAGTATTTATGGATAATAGAGAATCAACTACAGTTAAGGTGTCAACCTGAGATAAATGGATTCATTTGGTTGCAATGATTGTACTAAACAGCCCAGTTTGAAAGGCAGATGACCAAGTGTTGATGCATGCTTCAGTTTCTGTGAGAACCATCACTGTGGACAAATTTTCTCCAACCTCCAGGGGGGCGTCAACCTCCCTCTCAGGGAGCTAAGACCCCTCTCTCTATTTTCCCACCCTGGAGAGCAAGAGTATGAGAGCGGATCATGCCCTATTCTTTTTGCACTATCAGAGACGAAGTAAGCTCATATGTCTTACAACCAAGCATCCCACACTCAGCAATTTTAAATTGCAGCATTTCAGAATGCCCATTTATCTTAACACATGTTTCTGACCCTGTAAAATCAAGACACTTTCTAATGAGTTTGCAGATCAAGAATAGATAACATTAACACCCAATATTTGTATGTTTCCAGCAGCATTTACACTCTTATGGGAGTCTCTGCAAGATTTTACAAATATGTGTTTATCTGAGGAAATTGCTATTTCCCAAAACCAGGAAAAAATCAGAATAATTTGCTTCTAAACCGTTGATATATCTAGGGCCATCATACCCCACAACCAGCATCTTAGACTCAAGAAATCCGCTCCTTTTGATTCAGATAAGTCACTAGAACTGGCATCTGCGCCTGAAGACATCATGTCAGCAGATAACCACCCATAAAAGGAGGGCAGAGGTTGCAACAGGAAGATTGTAGCTTGATTCAACCTTGAACACCTGATGAAGTGACCAAGGTACTACCAGGCCAGGCCACACAGCGTTGAAAGAAAAAACATTCGTGGGCGTATTCATGTGTATGCGAATCCCGAGTCGTGCATTGACAAACTCCAGGAAAGGCTGTGGAAGAGATAAGAATCTGCGCATGAGCACCAGAAATTCTTCCTCCCGTGAATAATTATGGGTTATTCGCGAGTGATAGTCGTCAGGCGACGTGTGCCAAGTAGATGTTGTAAGTGAAGACTTCACAAAGTCACTACGCATCTCAAGCCATCGATAATGGTTTTCTTGACGTTGTAAAGTCACCGGTCCCGTTACAACGAGCCCGGTAAGTCTCTGTTGTACTAGACATCCTCCTAATTCCATTGAAGTGCCTAGAGCCGATGTTAGGTGAACAGGACTAACCATTCAAGTCCACGAAGGGCGGCCCAAGCCCAAAACACAGGTAAGGGTCGCCCACGACTTCCAGATGATAAACCTGACATACTGATAATATATGTCAGCAGGGCGTGTATTAGCACTAGTTATAATCACCTCCTTCCCGCCACAGTGAGTATACAAACGGCAATGTCGAAGGAAAACCTTGATAGAGGTTGCAGGTGTTTTGAGCTATCATCATCAAAGATGAG